AAGCAGATATCATCCAAATCAATTGATTTCTATAGATAAATCAGTACTTGATATGTATACCATTGGCCTCAATCACTGCCCAGCAACGGTTGGGCATTGTTGCAAGGAGGTCAAATAAGAAGTCCTCTGGCAGCGTATCCCAGGCCTCTTTAACCCATTGGCGAAGTAGATCATACAATGGGTTCTCGTTAATGCTGGCCTGCTCCTGTATATAGTCCTTCATCCAGTTCCAGCAGCTCTTAATAGGGTTAAGGTTGGGAGAAAAAGGCGGCCAATAAATAACGTAGACGCCTTGGTTATGAAGGTCCTCTGTTGTTGACGAGGCAGCATGTGCAGGAGTGCCATCTTGCATAAGAATGAGGTTATTGCCGTATTGTTGCTGGCATAGGTCAATCCAGCCACCGATGATAGGGACAAGGCGATTCTGGTACAAATCAGCCTTTATAGTGCCCTAATCCTTCTCCCAGAAGATGCCAGGTCCTTTCTGATCCCCGGAGAAACATCCCCAGAACATCCAACCCTGCTTATGTTGATGCTTCTCGATAATACACATTGGATCCCATTCTTTGCCTGGGCGCCGGGTAACATAGAGCTTCCTGTGATAGCTGCCCGTGATCCATGTCTTGTCTGTCCAAAGAACTTTCCTCCAGTCGTTGATGGTCCAATGGAGGTGCTCGTAAGCCCAAGCGAGGCGCTTTTGCCGGTTAGCTTCTGATATAAGGGGTTTCTGCTGGGCGGTGCGCCTACTAAAGCTGAGGTGCCGGAGAGCTACTTGAATAGCGTAAACGCTAAATAGGGATGAGAAAAGCAGTAGAGAGAGCCGGAGAAACGAGGCCTGGCGGTCCTCCTTTAATGAGGTAATATACTTAACAAGCTCTTCTTCTTGTTGGGCAGTCATAACCTGAGGCTGACCTAACTGGGCAGCAACGGTAGCCAATTTAGCCCGTATAGTGGTATGCACTTGATGCTTTATATAACCAGTAAGATTAGCGATATCTAGCTATAATAACTTCATATTGTTATAAAAGGTACGTATTTGCTGCCGGTTGGCCTCAGTAAGGTGCTTAGTTGTACTGCCCGTTAGGCGTACCATATTGACGATCAGTAGAAAAGGTGGTTATTATGTGAGGGAAAAAGGGAAAAATTGGCTGCTGGCGATAAGTGGGTATCTCTGCTTGATATAGACGATCTGATTGGCCAACAAAGGGGAACTGTCTGACCCACTGGTACTTGACTAGGGGGTTAAACTTTGGCCTGATACCGTAGTATTTACGTCTCTTATAATATCAAATGTAAAACCGATAGACATTTAGCCTGCTATTTAATTTATTTTAAAAACCTAGATATATCGTTTAATCTTTACTAAAAGAGCTATAGTACTAATGATTTTCTGCAACATGAGTAATTTCACCCCCTGTCACTTAGGTAGTCGGGCTCCGCGGACTTCCAATATCTTTGTATTAGAGTTCCGTTTTCAGTCATTAAATTCTACTCCATTATTCAAAGACCTGGGCCTTGCAAAATTCAAAACACTAACTTATCCCATCGGCTCTAGACTAACCCCTTTTAGCCAAATGAGAGGTGATGCGAGTCGCTTTGGCCTTGCACCATCTCACGCCTAGCTACGCTCCTTTGCCTCAAGCAAACGCTCGCTATTAGCAGCGAGGACAGACCCCTTGGTAAGTATTAGTTGGAGGTGAGTTGCAGCTACCCGCGGTAACCTGCAACCTCTGCATAGTAGGTCATCTAGCGGCTATCTCGACGCAAGATATCTAGTATCATTCCTGATACTTAAGACAATTATGGTTTTAGTAAAATGCAGCATAGAGCTCTGCTCTGTGCTGGACGAGGCATAGCGATGTTATGCTGATACAAGCATCCTGTATCGGATACAACGGTTAGAGACTACCATAGGCTAGACCGGCGGTTTAGCTCCGCCTTTGCCTAAGCCCGGACTTGGAAGGCCCAGCTTCATCGTGGCCAGAAACATTATACGCCACAGACCCACTGAGCTGATCTATAACCCGTCGAGGACACTGGCTTATCAGGTCGAACCCCCAGCCTCCTACCAACCAAGGTCTGCCGGAATGCTCGGTCGACTACTTACTCAATCCGCATTGAATTTTGATATGCTTATATTACCAGGTAAACTATGATCTGTGTGTAAGCCCCTAAGTATGATTCTGAGCCAATAACTGCGAGTCAATAGATAGTAGTGGTAACAATTGTCCTCGGAAGGTTGGAGAGAAAGCATGTCTTGCTAGATATATGATGGGTTCGGATTTAGAGACACTGGTACGGTAAACTGTTGTCTTGTGTCAGAATAGTTGCTTGTCGAAGTGTTTATCTTCCACAACCTGTCCTTCAATCGATTTTGTGACGTGTCCCACGTTTTTACACCCCTTGCGCCCCTCCGCCCGCAAAAACATCGTATCACCATTTAACACTCTTCATTTTGTCTCAGACCATACTAGGCAAAGCCCTTGGATACTTGGCATAATTTTTGACCTTATCTGGCTTCCCTTTTATGTCGTTTTGCTTGTTTCTTTGTGTTCCTTATGGTTTACTTCTATTAGTGCAATCGATCATGCGATTGTGCAAAGTGCTCGCATATTCTTTTACAGTGGTGTCTTCACTATTTCTTAAGTACTCGGCTATGTCTGCTCATTTTCCCAGAAATGCTGGTACTGTGTAATATGAAGTGGTTCTAAATGTCTTCGTTTCTTTGTTCTAGGGGCGTTCTATGAACCTATCAAGAAGGCAGGTGCTGGTAAGCGGACAATAAGCTACATGCTCGTTATTTCAATTGTACAATTATTATTTTGCTGTCCTCTATAGTCGGGTCGGTTTCTGGCTTTATGAACACAGAAGAGGCAAGAAAAGAAAGCCTACCACAGCTTGGCTTTTCGCAAGATCAGGTCTACAAGTTCATTGCAGATCAAGAAAAGTTGTATGACAGTCTTGAGTACTAGACTGGTATCCGACGCAAGCCACGGGTCATTGGAGTTCCCTTAACACCGTGTGGCCTGCGTGTGGTCCCTGAACGTGGCTCGCCGCGTTTTTTTACAGTAGCTGGCAAATGCGGCATGCGGTTGCAGGATTCGAGTCAGACTTCAAACCTATCCACTTCCACTAATTATGCCGTAGGACTAGTTCAGCAGACGTGCACCTCGTTCTCCACCCGTCTCAATAGTAATTACCAGATCCAGAGCACGGTCTCCAGACGTCACTACGTACTCCCTATCTAGATGAGAAATAGGCTTTCTGTTTGAGTGCATGGGAAGCGGATGCCGAAACCATGGCTAGTATACAGATGGCTTCTCTTTTGCATTGGATCTCGGAATGACCTTCCTTATATGCCACATGGTCGCGTTTCCTTTAGACAAATGGTCGCTGAAGAAGACAACATGAGGAACGCTACTATAGTATTTATCGCTTTTGTCTTTCGTTTCTTAATCTTGTGTTTGTCATTATTATTTTTTATTCTTGTTGCTCTAATATTGCATTTAGACTTGAAAAACGACGCTGCCTGAAAAGCATTTGGTTAGTGGGATGAACACTAGTTAATTGACTAACAGTAGGGACCATGGGAACTATACCGAGGCGAAGGCCAAGCTTTTCATGACAGTTTAAAGTTTGGACTTGCTTACGTCAATAGGTCTCTTAGCTTCGCTTACGCAATCTGTTCTGACTCATGGCAGCTGCTCGAAGTGGTACGGCCGGCTCAACTAGCCGATTTCGCCCCGCTTTCGTATAATCATCGCTACACCACTTTGGCTAAGTGGTAAATGCCATCTGGTAGCCCCAGAAAACCTTTGGGGTTCTCGATTGTCATCGTTATCAGGCAAGGCAGAATGCCAAGCCAGGTACAAGCATCAGCGACCCAACGGCAACTGCTTTCCGGCTAAGCCTTATGTGTCACTAACCTGCTGTAGGATCATAGACAACCATCGCGGTACTTCAATATTTCGGATCCCGCTCAATCCGTAATCGCTGGTATTGTGGGACTGGGCCGGTAAGTTAGGCCGGTTAGGATCTTACGTAGAACACAATCCGGCTACAATAGCGGGTTGATTTGGCTCTATCACGGGCGGCCTGTGGGGCACGGATCTCTCGGAATCTGGCTAGGTAAGAAATCAAAAGAATAATACAGTGTTTGAGGCCTTCCGTTATTTGATTCCCCACAGCTATAATTTTCTATTGTTAGTTTTACACTGATGCCTTCTACGGACTTATTTTAAACTGTAGTATCTTGGAACATATTCCAAACTCTACCCCAAATTCTTCAAGTTGAAAAACAGTTGTCTGTATGATCATTAGTTCACTGCGAAAATGAAATTTCTCACCACAATAACCCCCTTTCTGTAAGTGCTTTTGCTTTAAACTCACAAGATAACCTTGACTAAGGAAGATAGCTTCTACATCAACGGCGCTATGGCTTCTCGCTATTGCCTCTGCGCTAGGGATGGCAGCGGAGATGATGACACCACTAGAAAGGTTTGCCAGAGATATGTTGATGGAGTCTTCTTTACCGACGACAATACGAAGCCGTATATTGGTACAACTAGCGACGGTTTAAATCATGTTTTAGTATGCACCGATGATGTCCTGACACATAATATCGCTCTACGTAACACTCACTAATAGCTGCTTCAGTGCATTGGGAAAACTGATAACACGTTTCCTCAAGACAATTTCCTCTCACAGTGTTATGAATTTAGCAAAGGGTCGTCGGTCAACTGCTGGAACTGAAGATTCACTGGATAGACTGCTTTATTCGTGGAATGTAGGGGGAAAAAGGATTTTGTACTGATAGTTAATCAGCACCTTTGGTCTACTTTCTAATGCCAGCCAGCTGCCTGTAAATAACACGAACTCGTCTTTTTTTCACGTCTGCCGCTCCCAAGAACGTGATGGATTTTTAGTAGACTTCAAAAGCGGTAAATCGTCTTAATCTCAAGGGGTGTCTCAAGTTAGAGACAAAAATTCAGCCATTTTAACTAGTCTAATCTCAATGCCAGCTCCAGCGGCAACGGCAACGGCAATGGTAACTTGGGTTTGAAATTGGACATCAACGGGGGGCGGCTTTGGTGGCTTCGGCGACGTGAGCTCTCCGTGGTCTTGTGCTGGGGACTTTGTTGCACCGCCACGGTCATGAACTCAAGGTAGAGCGGCCTCAGGTGCTGCTTCTCTCCAAAGTCGTGAAGCATTTGCGCCAGTGGTAGCTCGTGGGCATTGTTGTGCGGCGCCGCCACGTCCAAGTCAGCGTCGCGGTTCATGGTCAACGCTTTAGCTGTCTGCTAAACTCCGCTTTCCGGGTATAGCTGCTGGTGTATAATGCAGAACAGAATCTTATAAGAAAAGTTCTCATTGATGAAACTTTCTGTTTGTGGCACAGTTAGTTAGGGGTTTTCTGCTCCTGACATATCGTATTAGCAATTTGTATATACTCAAACCTAAATAGAGTGAACTTCATGACTTTATGCGTTGATTGCTTCCTGGCTCAGCGGATAAATCGGCACGATTCTCCCTGCCTCCCCTAATTCTATTATATTAAACACTTCAATTTTACTGCCTTGCTTTCCCGTCGGCAATCCAACTTTGTCAGATATCCGGTATTGGATGTTTTATTGCTTAGATTCTACTGTCTTGATGTACACTGTGCAAAGTATAAATACGTGTTCTTGCCACCTTTTTTTTCGTTAGTTTCTTACTTGTAACAAAACTAAAATCAGCAGTTTCTTTTTACAGCTTATTTAAGAGTGTTCTACAAAAGAATTCGTGAGTTAATATTCTCCCTTAAGATCTAATCGATATGTAACTGACCTGTGGCCCTGTTACAACAGATTTATTACCTACCAGCAGCTAAGCACAATGAAACTGTCATCGATTTTACAGTCCTTGAACTTTTGGCTCTTTACAACAGGCGTTAAGGCCAGCTGTCTTATCATTACAGCACGAACGAACGATTTTACGGGCCTTGACGCATTCTCCGGTATTGCTGGACAAGAAGTCTGTAGACCTGGAGTTGGGATTCTAGGGACAGCGATTTACGATGAAGTGACCGATGTATATCGTGTGAGATGTTTCCATGTCTCTCCTGAAGCTTGCGCTGCTGTAGGGGAATCAACTCAAATCGACGTTTTCAATATTGATTGTAAGACTGGGAAGAAGGATGGATGTTAAACGATATATCAAAGCAGAGTGTTAGCCAGCAACAGGCATAGGACTGACTGTGTGTATGAGGATATATACTATCGAGACACATGTTACGGTTAGATATCTAAGAATGATGTTTTACCCTAACAGCTGGCTAGATCAATAACAAATAACAGTAACTGGAGGCTTTGTTGATGCTTCCACCTTGCTATCCCCGTCAAAGGGATAAAGTGTGATCTGGTTTTGCAGTATCCTGGAGATAGAAAAGGGTCTGGTATGACGTGAAAGAAAGTTCCTGCTGGTTAACCTTGGAATTATGCCATGAACCAATAAGTCATGTATTTGTTCTTCGTAGCAGCATGGTGCTTCGAAGCCGGGCAGGAAGGGAATGTCAGGAAAAAGGGTTGCTATACTAAAATAGACTATTAACTTAAACAGGGAAGACTTACATTATAATGTCAACAAACGTAGTAAGACGCCAACAGCAAAAGAAGACTTAGTTATAGCAATCAGGTTAAGAAGAGTTGTCTATGCTTAGTCATTTCTAAATAAATATCGTAATTTAGTTAGGCTTGTTTCTAAGAGAGAAAGGCACTAATATCAGTGCAGAGTATTAAGGCACTTTTTAAGCAAAGAATAGAGGAGAACATAACTCATTGTGCTCCTCTAATGAACGCAGCGCAAGGGTGTGGGGGAGTGGAGCTAGCTTTTGTGTATGCAGAGCACTACTCTTCTTAAATCAAATACACACGCACACATTCTCCAGACATGGGGCCACTGCTTGCTGAATGCTAGCATCGCTTGTTCCGGTCTGAACGTATCCTCCTTTGGAAGTTTTGAGTAATTTTTGTTTGCGTTAATCGAGAAAAAGTGTATGGTGTGTCTGTAGTGCTTTGAGCAAAAGGGACACTCAACAATTGCCTCTTCCTCGTCCCACCGTATGACACTTGCAGCTGCAGATGACATGGCTTCTTAAATTCTTAGTCTTAAATCATTTCGTATGGGTTTTAGCAGTGCATGATTGCGCAGCCAGCACTTTTATTTTCGCTATGGCGAAAGAGCGACATAACGAACAAGAAAGGAAGCCTTTGCGTGGTACCGAAGTCGGTGGTAGCAGTGACATGCGGTATTCGTAGCCTCCGTTCTTTGGAACAATGTATTTCTTGACCGCCAGTAGCTAAAAGGGACGTACCCTACCGGACTGTCGTTTGCCTAGGCGCTATGTAACGGGGCCATAGAGCCGCAACGAAGTTTTTGGCGATTGGTGGAAGATTTCCTCTGTGAATAGGCACTAGGTACGTGCATCACTGCGGCAAATACATCGGCCACATGCAGCTTTGCGCACTTCATGCTACTCTACCCTGCTTCTTCACTCCACCCTCCAAACCATTACAGGCCACTCGGGTCACAAAAATCAGCGCCGGGATTTGTATGGTAAAGGTATAGAAAAGCGGCGCGAATTTTTGTCACCCGAGTGCAGGCTTAGGTCACTCGGTAGGGTTGATTGACGTTGCCCACAGTCTGAGGGGCTGTAAGAACCATTCGTAAGTTATTGATAAGAAAGCCATAAGAAACCGCTTTCTAAATTTGGAAATCGGAACAGCCAAGGTAGCTGCACAACACGTAGCTAGTGCATGATTGACGGCCAGATTTAGAGAGCCCTTTTGACGTGGTTAGCCGCCTGTCAGTTCGCAATGACAGCAGATGTCAGGCAGAGGCCTTTTCGAGCACGGGAAGGATGCAAGGGTGGTGCCAGAACTTGTAACATGTACCGCTAAGCCAAATGTACAAAAGGGAGGACCCCTCATCCGTATAAGGCTATTCTTAGTACTCATGTAGTTCCGTCACAGCCTCAAGCTTGCATTAGAGCTCCAGTGACTCAAAGGCTTAGCTCTACCGATAGTGAGGCAGCTTGCAATGTATTTTTTTATGAAATCGCCAATAATGTGAATGCTTTGATTGATTCATCTTCTTGTTATCAACTATTAGCCAGCCCTTGCAAGCGTAGCGTGTGGCTAGTGACCAGAGCTGATTTGGGTGGCCAAGGAGCGCCCCATGTACACCTGACATTCCAGGCTTTTATGTCCCTCCTGCATCCGACTACATCCCGATCCCCCAGAGATAGGTGTTTCTTAGCAGCCATCTCAACTCAAGCTCGCCGCAGCTATATCGCCGTTCCTTGTTTCTGTCGGCCTAATGCATACTCTGTGTCCAACGGGCAGCACCCATGCCATTGCGCCTACCGTAGTCGACCCACCCGAGCAGCCACGGTCCAATGAACAAGTAACATGGCACAACATGGATAATAGCGGAGCAATCGCGTGGTCAAGAAAAGCGGATTGGTGTAACCGCAGACTCCGGGGGATCCCATCCCTCTCCATACCCTTGCATTTCGCAAAAACGCCCTATGTCATCCAAATACCCAAACAGCACTTTGCATTTGATTGCTTATAGGTGCACGCTAAGGCTTGCAAGATGTGCTAAGGGTGTTTACTAAGGGCGAATCAGTTCGTTTCATTACAAACTGATCAGGATACCTCTAAGGCGTAGTACCTCATGTTTTGCTCACAGCCCATTCGGTATATGAGTTCGGAATGCCTCACTGGTTTCTAAGTGGTGTCCTGACCGTTCTCCCTCGACTGCATGCACCCCTGACGTTGATTCCAAGGCTTGCGTTCTTATTGAAGCTTGCGCTCATGACCCATGCCGATTTACGTCAAGGCACGTGTTTTGAGCAAACGAAAGATAGTCACCTAAATTTTGATTGGAGCTCGATCCTGGCGACAGATTAGCCTGCTGCTGTTACGCGAGGTGCAGGGATGCATGATAATTGCCTGTTTTACCGTAATGTGTTATATACAGGCTAGGACGGTCTGCTTCGTTTTTGGAGCATCCACTCTAGCTATTGCCTCTCCCCAACACGAACGTACAATGAGCTTTCTTAGGTCCTTCCTAGGTCTGTGGACTGTGCCGGCTCTCTTCACTTTGTTGGGTATCTACGTTGTGAAGCGCATCGTTCTATACACCAAACTCAAAAATTTCGAAGGACCATGGTGGAGTGGTATCACGCATTTGCCTCACAGCAGAGCAATGGTCATGCCCAACTGCCATGAGTGGTACGCAGAGATGAACGAGAAACACGGTACGCGTTGAGTCTTCCGCCTCTTTGGATTGGGTTGCAGCTTCTCGTATCCACTGGGCTTGTGGCCCTTTAGACAATTGACTTTGTGCCAGGTTCCATAGCGCGCATAGCACCAGGCCTGCTGCTTACATCATCCCCTGAAGTCTGGACTCATGTAAATAGACACCCCAAATACAAGCGTACCGACTGGATTTATCACGCCTGGCGGGTCGAACACCGCCGGGATAATATCTTCACTCAGACGGACAATGAGAAACATGAGCAAAGGAGGAAACAGATGGCTCCAGGGGTAAGGCCTTTTGACCTCTATTACCAGCCATCATGCCATGTGTCACTGACGTGAAGAGTCAATTCTAGTATTCTGGTAGGGAGAACGTCGACCTCGAATCAACTATCGATCAGCGTCTCGAAGAACTCCTAGGCCTAATAAGATCTAAATACCTTTCGAGTACTGCCGAGGTTGTACCCATGGATCTGGCAAAGAAGGTCCAGTACTTTACGCTTGATGTGATCAGCGCTGTTGGGCTGGGAAAGACGTTTGGCATGCTAAGTAGCGACAACGATGTTGATGACTACCTGAAGTCGACTGAGGAGGGTCTATCTGCTATTGCCTGGGCCGTTGCGCTGGGTATCAGCTGGATGGCCCAGGCACCCATCATCGGCAAGTTCATTGCCCCCTCGCCTACTGACAACAACGGCTTTGGTAAGATGATGGCTACTTGTTTCCGCTACGTTGATGAGCGCACTGGAAGAGATACAGATGAGCGGTTAGACATGTTGGCATCCTACATTAAACACGGATTGAGTGGCGATGAGCTGAGATCAGAGGCGCTCGAACAAGTGATCGCAGGCTCTGACACAACTGCGGCAGCCATTCGCGGCACCTTCTTGCAGATCATGACAAACAAACGCGTCTACACGAAGCTCCAACAAGAAATCGACGAGGCTGTGCGTAACGGCGTTGCACCTCAGGCAGGCGAGGGCCTCATTGCTGTAGCACAGGCCAAGAGGCTTCCATACCTGCAGGCCGTTATCCGCGAGTCGCTAAGAGTTCGGCCTCCCGTTGTGAACTATTTCTCACGAGATACCCCGCCTGAAGGAGACACGGTCGAGGTCAATGGCAAAAACGTATTCTTACCCGGCGGTGTGTGCGTGGGGTATTCGGCGTACGCGATGCACCGCGACGAAAAGGTGTACGGCAAGGACGCCCAAGCATTCCGGCCCGAGAGATGGTTTGATCCGGATGTCGAGAACCTTGCCTCCATGGTCCGGACTAACGAGCTTGGCTTTGGGTACGGCAGGTTCACATGTCTGGGGAAACCGGTAGCTCAGATGGAAATTTCCAAAATCATATTTGAGGTGCGTGACAGCTCTCCCCTTCTCAACATGGTTCCCCCGGCAACGGAATTTCGCTGACAAAAACGGCGGCGTTGGTGCAGATGTTGAGAAACTTTGATTTGGCACCAATCGACTCGGCTAGGCCTTGGGAAGCCAAGAACTGCATGGGTCTTTTCGTGATTTCAGATATGTGGGTTCAGGTAACCAAGAGGGACCCTTTAGTCAACTGAATGAAGGGTATGCGCTTTTCTTCTTGAGACGGAAAATACTATTAGAAACATGCCATATGTCTCTACAACCGGTACAAATTAGCCAGTTGAGAGTCGCAGTAGGATGTCTAGTCTCCTCTGTCCGTTGTTGTAACTCCCGGAAACCTGAATTATAGGCATAAGAAAAAGATAAGCAAATGAAACACGTCTGTATTCTTATCGCAATCTGAGCAGCTACCAGCAAGTCTTTCTTTTTCTTTTTCAAGTAAGGTTATTCTCAGTCGTATGTTAAAGCCCTATGATTTTATGTTGTTACCCAACTGCAATGCATACAAGGCAAAACCTTAAATCTTAACCCCTCTTTGTGATTCTGTAATAAAACAGAGACTTCACGCTTATCTAAAGTCTCTCTAGGTCTAGCTCTTGGTCAACTTTTGCCAATGCTCCAAATCTTTGATTAAGCTAGAGAGCAACTACCTCTTGCTATTAGTATTAGTTAGTCAACATGTTGGTTTGCTTTAGTAGACGATACTTGTTGCGGCAGAGGTTGTAAGCTTCTAGACGCCGAGGGACTTGTAGGAAGAAGAGCTAGGGAGAACTGGTTGTGCCTAGGCAGAAGGTCTATCTCCTTGTACGCTCAGGAGAATGTTTTCCGGGAGCAGATGAAACGTCACTCGTCGGACAGAGCTGACGATTTTGGGGCTGGTTCACGCAGTGACGGATGTGATGCTCGATGGACGGGCGCACGTTGATTATATCAACAACGTGTTGTCCTAGGCTCCGACCTCCGTCAGCCTCGAGGTTCGGCTGGGCTGCCAGGGGCGGCTCGAGAGAGCTAAGCAACGTCTGTCATAGGTCTTGTGGGTGCAGTTTTCGATGATTGACACATTGAGGCCGGGGGGTGCCCTATTCTTGTTCCTTCGTCGACGGTGACGCCCTCAACGTCACGTTGTCAGACCTCAAGGAGCTTCAGCAAGCGCTGCCTCGAAACAAGAGACACGACCACAGGCCACTTCTCGAATACAGCCCGGATCTTGATGTAGATAATCGTGCGAAACAGGACGTTGGATGCCTGCTCCCGAAGCGGCAGGAGGGACGGCGGCGATCTTGTCACCAACTTCCAGCTCCTCCCCGGCAGAACTAAAGCGGAGGTTGGTTCCACCCGAGTTATGTATCATGTCCCAAGAAATATCGTCGAGAACGTTGCGGTCGTCAAACTCGCAGCATTCGGCGGGTGGTAATCAGGCGAGACCAGGCGAGATAAGGTGAGGCAGGACAGAAAAGCAATATGGGCTGGCATGGCGGGGCGGGCATGGCGCCAGCTGGTCAAAGTTGATACCTGTGCTTTACTATGTGGCTACCTATCTAGATGGCATTACTGCTGAGCGCCTTGGGTCGCATGCTCTGGAATGAAATCCTGGTGGAATTGCATCGTCCGCCAGTCAGTGTGGCGTGTGTCGCTGGCGAGATGCGCACGTGAGGAGACTTCACATGGGTGGAGTCTGGTGTGAGGACCCCCACGCTGTCCGGGCAGGCACCTTCCACGTGGAAAGCGGTACTTGGTACTTTGCAAGATGGCGCGTACCGCTGGTTGTGGGTTCCAAAAGCATACAAACCACACAAGAGAGAGAAAGAGAGGGAGAACAGCGCATTCTCTTCCAGTGTCCCGCCCTTCAGTTGTTCTTGCTATACCTCGAGGCACGTCAACCGGTCGATTCTCGCCTTCGCTCTCGACTATGAACTTGCTGCTCAGCTGCCGAGACATCGGAAACAACACCACCCGCTTCAGAGAAGCTATCAAATCTCGCAAGGCGCATCTCCTTCCTCTACATCTTTTTCTTACCTTGCGCCTGTCTTCCATCCGTCGTCCGTCACCTCCTTTGATTTCTTCATCTCTCCGCACACTGACTGACCCCTGCGGCCTCGCAGTCTGCCTTGCCGCCTGGCCAAAGACGAAGCCCAGAAAAAAAGAAAAAAGGCCTCAGCAGAGCCCGACGTGTCCGAGGATGGGGCACCAGTCCCGGTCACGAGGCGTACCCCCAAACGTGCACGCCGTCATAAATCCGTTGAGCCGCCCCCGGCAATCCAGGCTGCCGAACATCTACTCGGGCGTGGCCTCTGGTCTGATCTCGAATCCGACCTCAATACCACCCGGAGAGTGTGACTTTGTTGGCGTATGATATCGCCTGGGCATGCAGTAGTTAGGGGGTCTTTTTTGGGGATCGCAACTCATTCGAAACTCATTCGAGGATGTTTACCACCTGGGCCGCAACCCGTACAATTTGCTCATCGGCCAACAACTCCACAGTACTCAAGCTGGTCGACTCTATCCCCCGCCGACATCATCACCCACGACGAAGCACGTGTTACGGCCCAACCAGTTGGGGTGCTGGCCGGCGTAACTATATAGTGCAGAACAGGGGATAATGATGCAGGCGCATCATTACCGAAGCTTTTGCTTTGTGGTGCAGTTGGTTGCCCTGACCTGCTCGTAACAGCACGGCAATCCCGACCAGGCAGAGCTTAGCAAAGCCCCAACTTGGATGGGACGGTAGTCTCACGGCACAACTTACGCGTTCCTTGGTAGCGCGGAGGGATCCGAATTTGTTCGCAGCTTCAAGCTTCCTAGCCTTTTGAAACTTGCCGACAAGCTCAAGAAAAAGCTTGTCAGTGAGGTTGGGGTTCCAGAGTGGGAGGTTCTCGAGGATGATGCGTGGGCTATCGATGATGGTGAAGGCCAGGCGGCTCGGGCTGGTGCTGCTGCTGCTGCTGCTGGTATCGGCTATTGGTTCTATGTGCTTGTGGCATATTTGTCTTCGGTAGGCCAGCATTGCCCAAGTATGAGGGTGATTTAACGGAGGTAAGCGGGGTGCTGCTGGATGTAGGATTACGAGATACGGCGTTGGGGACAGGTTACTGCGTAGTCGTGCTGAAGCCGGAGGAGCTAGTGCTCCCATAGGAACTCGCAGAACTAGCGGTGTTAAGGGTATCTCTTATGTGCGACTCGCGGCCGTCGGTTGGCTGTTGCGAATTGTCGGAAAGTAGGCCATCACCTACGGTATTTTAATGGTGGCGTCCATCCTGCCTCGGCTGGATAACAACGTCGAGCTTCTGTAGCATCGCCAAGGCAGTTACAATCTCCTGGCCCGTGTGGTAACACCAAGGTCCTTGGCGTGGGAATCTATGTGCCTTGAGCTCTGCGTCTGGATCTACGTCATAAGTCAGCATATTCTGTGGCCGGAAATGGGGGAGAATCCTTATAAACCTTGTTGGGCAACGTTCAAGACTGCGGTAAAAGCCATAATCTGGTTGTAAGGGGATCTTGAGGAGGTCCCCGGCGGCTTGTGCCTGGAAGTTTAGAGAAGAAGTAGTGTAGAATGAGCATAATACGGATTGACCCTGTAGGGCGCTGCGTCTGGTTATTAAGCCATCATCTGCAGAGGAAGGATGTGTTATAGTGCGCGATTCTATCTTGATAGCACACCTATGGCTACTAGGTTAGCGTGAGGACATTATTTTAGATAATGTGTGGAGTTATAAGAAGCCTTTGGATTATGAGAGACTGGTGGTCTGCTATGCTTGGCCCAATTGTCTGCAAATCATGAACGAGGAGCAATATCTCAGTCCCCTGGCCCCGCGGAAGCCTTTGGTTGTTAGTGCCGCTTTAGCTCCTCTCATCGAACGGATGCGGCAAAATCCTTTGCCGCCGATCAGTTACCAGATCTCCGTAGCACGTCGCCGGAACAAGAGGAAAAGACTCGATTGCCAGCATCGTGATGGACTCGAGAGACAATAGGGAAGCCTCGACGCTGCATTCCTGAAACGATTCCTCCCTTGCCGCCTAAACGACGACTTGGGGAACATGAGCTCTAACTTCCTCTCGCGGCTGAATACGATTACCCAGCATGCCATGTCGATTGGCGTTGAACTCCCGTCTCTCTGGGAACCGGACGACTGGCTTGTAAATGCAGCATCCCTACATGCAAACTTGAAAAATAGGCTGCAGCCGTCTAGTGTAATGCTTTGAAGCAGCAGTGACAAAAAGCCCTACCCAAGTCACATGTTGTGCTTGACATAACAGGGTGGTAAAAAAGGCTCTCTTGTAATGAAAAGACACCAAAGGAGACCAAAAATAGACAGCAGGTGCAAAGGTGCACTAACATACTGAATGTATCATGTAGAAGACAAGGATGTACCTTGGGGGAAGAACATGAAGCAAGGTACCTAGAGCAGCACTCAAATTACGTGCATGGTCCTTACGCCATCGTTAAGTCTATGAGATTCTGACCATCAGAGTGTCTCCTTCATTTTTGTTAGTACCAATGCTTCTCACGACCCGTCAAAGGTGCAACCAGTATACGCCATCAGTCACGACACGAAAATGCCTCATTTCGTCATGACACCAGTGAGGAAATCTTTCAGAGAGAAAGGAAGAGTTGAAGATTATCGTTTGCCCTTTATTATTGGAATTATTTTTTAGATTACCACATACGACCATACCCACTGGAGAACTCGGGATCCCGTCCGCTCTCCCATAGATAAGCCAGTGAGGGCCGGATTAGTAGTTGGGTCGGTGACGACCAGCGAATACCTGGTGTTGTATGTAATTTTTGCGGTTTTAATGTTTTTATAAACCGTGAGCTGCTGGCCCCGAAACAAGCCTCGATAACCAACAGCGTAACTGCCAAGCCTAACATCTGCTAGAGACTCGCCGCCTGCCTATATGTCCGCGCGGCAAACTCGCCCGAAATAGGGGGGAAACCTACTTCAACAGTCCTACTACTGTGACAGAGGCGCTTAGCGGCCCTAAGATAGAAATTGATTCCAGCTCAGCCAGGCTATCTAGTCCTTTTTGAGCTATCTGCAGCAGTCATTGACGCAATATTGCTGAAAGAGAACCGGGATTCAGTAACAAAAACCAGAAGAAATCAGGAAATGGATTCTGGGGTGTTTGACTTTTTTGGGTCTGCAAGTGTGATACGAATGAGTAACGTCCGACAGCAGAGAATAAAGTACATAGAAAGATATAGGAAAAATAGGTTGCTCAACTGTATCTCTATTGCACCATCGCCCGCTCTATACCGTCTCTCTTGCTGTCGTAACCTGGGACGTGTTACGCTACTAAGTAGTTTCCACAAACAGGCTAACTGCTAAGAAGCAACAACTTATCACAACTGAATTATTTTCTGGTCTTGTGTGGCTCCCAGATCCTTAGTCCGGCCAGCCAGCCCTTAGTCTCGTCTACGAGTCGCTTTGCAAATCTCGTCACTGTACAAAGTACAGGAAGAGAGGTCTCATGGAATACAGCACATCCTGTACGACTCAGTTAATCTTGTGTATATGCGGCAAGACCTCTGTTCCGGTAGCTCACCACGTATCTGCGTGATTTTCCTGCTTTGTTGATTGCTTGTTTTTGAAGCCTGTCTGACGCTTATCTTTGCTAATCCTGCTCTCTAGATATGTTGTAGTACCCGGCATAACAGTTGTGTCTAACGATGCTAGCGCTCTTATATAGCCCCTATGGGCCTTGAATAGTAGACACTGCGTCTTCTCGATGTGGCTCTAGTCCATTCTTTGCCTCCAACGGAGAGTATTTGAATGGCCTGCCGACCTGCCATCCTCGTCCACTTCCACTTCGCCACCGTCACATCCTTCAGCCAGCGATTGCCGTCGACAAAGCAAAGGTTCTGACCAAGGGCAGCGCTCGGTCAGACGAAGTCGCCTCCTCACTCCACCACAGTTGGCCATCGCCATGTCGCTCTCCAAAAAGAGGCCACTTGACGGAAACGGTTCCTCGCGCAGCCTCACCTCCTCGTCCCACCACGATCTCGACCAAACGCCTACGAAGCGACAACGAACCAGGACGTCACCAAAAGGCCCTCAACATGTGTGCTGACCTCTCTCAGACTGTTATTAATCATCTCATCTATTACCTGTGGTTATATAGCTGTTCGCCCAACTGGGCTCCCAAGGCGGCTGGCTACGGCCTGGTTGGGCAAGGCTTCAGCTAGCTATCTTGGGCTCGCGGTGAGGAAAAGTTGAAGTCGGTTTGGTTGAGTAGATGCGGCATTGTTTACATTCCTTGGTTTCCTTTAAGGGGGGTCGAGACAGAGTCCGGCATCCTCAATGGTACCATGACAAGGTCACCTGTCTCGGGAACCAAATGATGTCAAATCTTGGGGGATTTAATGGGGTTCCAGAGTGACTACCGTCTTGTTCATCAGTGTTTTTCTTGTTCCCCCATCCCCGATGAGGTCTGCATAAGGAGCTATGCATCGGGTATATTGATGGCCGTTCAGTCTTTGATACGGAAGGCCTTTTCGCTCCTCCTCCTTGATTTCACTATCAGTCGCTGGCTCCAACACCCAAACGCCGACAAAGCAATCACTGATGTTGTCAAAAATGGCAGTTTATAGTTTGGTAACTTACTTACTTGGTTAATTCACTCCCTTACTAACCATGTTATACAATTCAAATCTGCTTTAAAAATAGCTATCTTCTAGAGCCTTCGTTATCTGATCATTCATATATAACCAATTTCCAAGCTGTACGCCTTGCTCATCAACCGCCATAGTCAAGTCTCCAGGTATACCAGAATATCCGGTGACCCAACCAGGGATCTCACTGAGTAGGGTCTCTGTAATAACTCTAGAACCTTCCATGCTAGAAGACGGCATCTGATTTACGCCTTGGGGATTCGTTGAGATCGGCGTCAGGACCGCCTCCGGATCTTGGGCTATAAGCGAGGCGTCGTGTACTTGTTTGTTGTTTTCAGCGTTCGTGATGTTTACCTCAAGTTTGAGGTAACTGCAAGCAACATCGTAGAGAACCTTGAAAAGACGCGTCTCTTTTTTGATACCAACAGAAAAGAAATCAGTGGAGGCGGACTGGAGAGTCTCGATGAGTCCTTCAAGGAGTTTGAGATCGCTTTTGTTACGTGTCTCGATGATGTGGCAAAAGAGCACGATAAAGGGAACGAAGGGTGAGTTTAATAGAGCCCTGTGATAGTAATTTGTTAGACTTGAAAGTATGGTGGGTCAGGGTCCAGTCCATTTACCAATTCACATAAGTCTCAAGAAATGATTCCTTGAAATCATCCACAACAGCCATACATCTCTGGTGTTCTTCAAGAGCCTGCCGGGCGCTGGCAATACACTCTCTTCCAAAGATGGTGCAACCGTTTGATTCGGCAGGAATGGCGCGATAAATGAGACAGAAAAGTGACAAGTGAGTAACTCTCGTAGTGGAGAGGAAGGCTTCGAAGAATTTGTCGCCGGTCGTCTGGCGCATCACCTCCATGTATTGTTTCTGCATGCTTGTCAGTACTTCCATTGCATTGGCTGTGACCCCAGCTAATATTGCCAAAGCAAAATGAGCAGCCCGCAGTTTACTTGGGAGAAGACAGAAGGAATCAGATAGCCTATATCCTCAGAGCCTTCGTACCTCACCTGGAAATATCTTGGTCGTATGCGCTTCGAGTGCCGAAGCAAGCTGTCTTGCCCGAGTAGTTCTAACAGCTTGCGGCTGGATCAAAGCAACAGGGCTATATATCTGGTCGTAAACCATGCCCTGTAAGCGCGCAAACTCTACCCACTTGTGCAATTGTCCAAAGATGGCCATGTCCGATCTCGAGTCCACTATCAGGTGTGGGACGGTGATATCACTGTCGCGAATAGTTGAAGACCGGCCCAGACGTAGAGAGAGCTGCTTTTCCTGCACATATATAAGCCAGAACAACTTGATTTTCATTGTTCTATCTTCGGGGCTGTCTTGGGCCATTGCAATAATATTGTGCATGCCCTGTGTTTGGCACATGTGGGATGCAGTCGCGATAAAATTCCATGCGGCAGATGGCCGGCAGGTATCGAGGCAGTACATCCCCTATCTGAAGCATCAACAGAGTTCTGGGTCATGGGATCGAAGGACGTACAGCTAGCAACATAGCAGATGTTGATTCCAAAGTGGAAGGTTGGTGAAATGGGAGATTGGAGAGAACAGTTTCGAGATTATCTCGACAGACTATAGCCTGCGCCTCAAAATCCGACTTCTCTTGGGAGTCCATAGTTGCATTTTTGCACTCCAAGAAAAGCCAGTATAGTCCCGCGTTGACAATAATAAGGTCGGCATGAGTAGCGTCGCCGGGAGAATACACCTTAACAAAGTACTCTGTAAAAGAAGAGAAAGAATTCGCTTCGTGGTTCCAGAAAAAGCGGACACGGGGATGCTCTATGAGATTACAATCAACATGCATTATGAAATGAGATAGTGAACTTCTCCTTACCTTTAGCCATCCTCAGACAGGTGAAAGCTGACTCGACTGGGGGCATTGGGAGGTTACGGATATTGAACCCGTGCTCCAGTGTCCTAGCATGGGGATATAGGTAATCAGCTTCCTGGTGGCTCGGATGCTTCCCCACGGTACTGCTCAGGGAGTCTAGAACGGAGGCCATCTCGCCGGTGATGTCGATTGAAGGCTTCTTGAAGACGGCATCTTGTAGAAATTGGTTGGCGAAAGCAGCTTGAGCTGACAGAGAGGATTCTCCCTCATACTTCAAAGTCGGTGTGGTGAGCCTGCTTCCAGCGCGGTTGGCTGATGATAAGGGTGCTGTGTGAGATTCTGACGCTAGGTTGGAAGAGGCCGTTGCTGTGGGAGATGAAAGTGGGAAGGTGATCGGAGAGGTGAGAGGAGCATTGTAAGAATGGGTCTTCATATTCTCGAGCGCTTGGCCAAACTCTTCAAGCTTTTTTGCGATGTGGTCAATCTTGTTCTCGCTGAGGAGGGGAGAGGTGTAAAGGTCAGTAGCTAGAGGCAGTGGACGCAATGCTAGCACTCACTAGAGCTCTGAAATGAAGACACGGTGTCGTTTCTCTTTGTGCTTTTGTCTCTTGGGATAAGTGCACGGAACATTTGTTCGAATGCAATAAGAACATGGGCGTTCTCGGTTGCAACGCACCTGAGGTGGCCACGTCAGTGAGTCTGCTGCAGAAGGAATCGAAGGTTAGATGGCGGGATTAACATGCCTTTCGATGGCGACAGCGATCGCACTGAGTCCAGTGATCCTTTGTCAGCGGATGAGCAAAGTTTGGAACGGAATCTGGCTTACAGAAATGGTAGATAGGAAGTTCCTGTCCCCATCGTCATTTTCCTCTTTGTCCTCATTTTCGTTGGCTTCATGAATCTCATGAGTCGGCCCAAGTAAGGTACTGCTAATATCGGGCTCCATCTGCACGGGGACTTTTGACTTGGATCGATTTGGTGATGTGTCCCTACGACTTGCCAGACTGGAGTAGCACCAACAACTGAGAGGTTGCAGGGCAGATGCGAAGGGCCGGGCCGGTAGTCGGGATAAGTGGAAACAGAGTAGCAATACAGTATTACTAGCCAGTACTGCTTGCTGTCAAGGGGTGGGTGGTTCTTAGCACACAGTTTTGGTCGAGTTAGGATGCCACTGACAGTAAGATGGATTCTCGTACATTTGGGAAATAGGATGAGGAGACTATGAAAACCCCAAACCGAACGTGCCAACCGAAAGCGAGGTGACCCACATACGGATGTCAGTTTTGTGGACCTCTGTATCACTGACCTGAGCCTTAGTCACGTGCCTTGGGTTTAGAAAGCTAAGAGAGCAGAGCTGCGTCCGCAGATTCGTCCCCCAAATGTTATCTCTTTAGTAGCCACGTCATTGGTACCTTTTTACAAGTTTCCACAGTGGATTGCAATATCCCTCATTCGCTTTTGTGCAGGGGAGAACGGAATGCTATAGGAGAGTCTGGATACAGTGGGCTTCTTTTTGGGTGGGGTGCGGTGTTGCGGAATCTTGGCATCCCGCCCTCCGTGGCCGTCAGGCCTTTCGGTCACGGTGCCTTGGTACTGCCGTATCAGCGTTATTTCCGATTACAAACCACACACGACTGAGGGTGCGGTGTTGCGGAATCTTGGCATCACGCCCTCCGTGGCCGTCAGGCGTTTCGGTCACGGTGCCTTAGTACTCTATTCCGCAGCGCCGTCTGCCAGATCAGCATGACCTCGGACCGCAAACAGTACACGACTGAGGGTGCGGTCGTGGACATTGGGATATCCGCTACCAAACTAAATGAGGCTACTAATCACCCTTTTCTCTATTCTCTGTGGCAGGCCGGTTTTGCGGGTCTATCCTTTGACAATCGTCTCTGTTTTAAATCCTCTAATCCTTCCTGCAGTGATCTCTGATGTCCTTCCTTTCTTGCATGCAGCTCTCGAATCAACCTTCGTTTTGTCTCATTTGTCATCCCATCCCATCAGTCGCCCTTGATCCAATGACTAGCAGTCTTATCATCCTCTGGCCGGTCTCCTAGTTCAACAAATCACCTCTTCAGCATGGAGAAACAAGAAGAAGACTTGGATTCCACAGCAGTCGATATATCGGCCAGCTCTGACCGAAATGGAAAGAAACGGACCTCGGGAATTTCGGCATTTTTGGTAAACATTTAATTCCCACCGCTTCACCTTTAATCGCAGCGAGTTCACTGACCAGGAATGCCACAGCGCGTATTCACTTATGGTCAACCGCTTGACTATGTCCTCGAATTCACTGCCATTCTCGCTGCTATCGGTTCCGGTGTGGCCATGGCAATGATGAACCTTGTCATCGGCCAGCTGATGAACATCATGAGCGATCCCATGCTCAGCACCAGAGACCCAGACCAGTTCATGGCTGCTGTCAGCAAGAACGCGTAATTATTCAACATCTACTTACACCCTTCTGCAAGCTTATCCCTCCTAGTCTTTATTTCGTCTATATCGGCATAGCTCGGTTTTGTTGCACTTACATATACTCGACGCTGTTTACATACGTCGCCTTCAAGGTGACACGCAATGTCCGATACTCTTACCTACGAGCAGCTTTGAGCCAGGAGGTTAGCTTTTTCGACCATGGCACCTCTGGTTCCATTTCCATGCAGGCTACGTCCAATGGAAAGTTGATCCAGTCAGGGATCGCAGAGAAGCTAGGTCTTTTCTTTGCATCCATTGCCACTTTCTTCGCAGCCTTCGTTATCGCCTTTACCAGTTACTGGAAGCTCACCTTGATTCTCATCTGCATCCTACCAGCTCTGATGCTTGTCATTGGCGCAATGGCTACCATTGACGCTGGCATCGATGCCAAGAACCTCCAAATACTCGCCCAAGCAGCCACATATGCCGAGAGTGCTCTGAGCAATGTTCGCGCCATAAAAGCATTCAGTCTTGAGTCAAGAATCATCCATAAGTATACTTCTTTCCTTGATAATTCCCGAAGACTTGGAAACAAGAAGTCTGGTGTATATGGAATCATGTTTGGGTGGCAATACTTTGTCATCTACGCTGGAATGGCTCTGGCTTTTTGGCAAGGAATCGCAATGATAGCTCGCCAGGAGGTGGACGGCATTGGTACGGTCTTCACGTGAGTCGAGCTCTGTGTTGCCGATAACAGCTTTTCTTGTATCATCGTGCTAACCATGAATCTCGCAGAGTGCTATTCTCGGTCATCATCGGCTCGACTTCAATCAACGGAATTGCACCGAACATATCGTCCTTCGTTCGTGCCGCTACCGCAGCTTCAGAACTTTTTGCTCTGATCGATAGGACTTCAGATATAAACCCCCTGGACGAATCTGGCCAGAGACCCATTGGCATTTCTGGCGTCATTAACATTCAGGGAGTCAGCTTCAGTTATCCTACAAGGCCAGATATGCGAGTTCTGGAGAACTTTTCTCTTCACATTCCCGCCGGAAAAGTCACGGCCCTCGTGGTAAGCTACCTTTTAGCAGTTCTCGTATTTAAAAGGAAGCTAATATACAGATAGGGCACAAGCGGTTCTGGGAAAAGCACCATCATTGGCCTTCTAGAAAGATGGTATAACCCTGATTCCGGCGTTATTAACCTTGACGGTGTCAGTATCCGGGACTTGAGCCTCACCTGGCTTCGAACTACGATGCGACTAGTCCAACAGGTGTGTATTTCGTTCATTACTACTGCAATGAGCTCTTGGGGTTTTTTCCATTGCACTTCACTTTTGTAACATCTGTTATGTTCTTCCTCTTTCGTCTTCATTCGCCTCTTTGTAAAATACATATCTTCTATTTCTTGTCATGTTTAATCTCTGCCCAGCGGTATGACTTTACGTCTGAGCAACCTGCTCTGCTGTCAGGAATCAAGATAGCATGGTCCCTTTTCCCGAATTGATTTCCAAGGCCCAAGCTAGGTGATTAACGAGTTGCAGGAACCTGTTTTGTTCAATGGCACGGTCTTTGAGAACATTGCCAATGGTCTCGTGGGGACCTCTTGGGAGACAGCTTCACGGGCTGACCAGATGCAACGAGTTGAATACGCTGCCAAACTTGCTTTTGCAGACGATTTCATCACCAACCTTCCAGATGGGTACAACACGCCCATTGGCGAGAGAGGTGGACTCCTCTCTGGTGGACAGAAACAACGAATTGCTATCGCGCGGAGTGTCATCTCCGAACCCAAGATTCTGCTGCTCGATGAAGCGACAAGCGCTCTCGACCCGCATGCCGAAGGTATTGTACAGCAGGCGTTGGACAGTGTCTCCAAAGATAGAACCACGATTGTCATAGCCCATAAGCTTGCCACCATCCGGAACGCAGATAACATTGTGGTCATGTCCAAGGGCAAGATTATCGAGCAGGGAAAGCACGATGATCTGGTGGCTCTCAATGGCGCTTATGCGAAGTTGGTTAAGGCACAGGATCTTTCAGTCGAAAAGAAAGATGCGACCGACGAGAACACCGACGATGAGGTAACAGCGACGGTAGAGCCTGTCCAGTCACTCGTTAAATACGAAACTGCCGTTGATCAGCGACTCGCATCTCAGATGGACGTGGAGGATTTCAACCTTCACAAGCACACAGGATTGATTTACACCATTTGGAAACTCATCCGTTCCTCCTCTGAGATCAAGGTTTGGTACATGCTTGCATTCATCACCTGTGTTCTGGGAGGTACGTTGGTCCCGCAACATTCTTTTCGGGGTGTTTGTTGATCAAAACACCCAGCTGCTGTCTATCCTGGACAGACACTACTCCTTTCCAAGATTATGGAAGTCTTCAGTTCTTCAGACATGGTCGACAATGGAAACTTCGTATCTTTGATGTACTTCGTCGTTGCTCTAGGTAGCTTGGCGGTGTACTTCGTCATGGGTTGGACAACGAATGTTATTGGACAGGTGAGTCTCGTATAAGTACCATAGATCAAACATCCGGAGAGCTGACTGAACCGCAGACTCTCAGCCAAAACGTCCGCAAAGGTCTCTTGAGTGGGATACTGAAACAGGACCTTCGGTTTTTTGACAGACCAGAGAACGCTGTCGGCGCCCTTAACAGCCGTATCGACTCTCAGGCACAAGCCATCCTCGAGCTCATGGGTTTCAACGTTGCCTTGGCTTTCTTGTCATTCATCAACGTCATTGCCAGCAGCATCCTTTCTCTCGCATACTCTTGGAAGCTCGGTTTGGTCGGTGTTTTCGCTGGCATGCCTCCTTTACTACTATCAGGCTATGCTCGTATTCGTATCGAGACGTCAATGGATTCCAACATTGATAAGATGTTCTCAGCAAGTGCTTCGTTGGCATCCGAGACTGTTAACGCCATTCGCACGGTTTCTTCTCTAGCGATTGAAAAAGGCATTCTAAAGAGGTACACCAACGAGCTAGACACTGCCATTTCAAGCTCGACCGTGCCACTTTTCAACATGATGGTTTGGTTTTCTCTCACCCAATCCATCGAGTTTTTCATCCTTGCTCTTGGGTTCTGGTAAGTTTTTATCCTTTCTTTTTAGAGCGGGGTCCAGTGCTGAATACAGGCTTTCAAGGTGGGGGTCGAAGCTAGTTACCCAAGGGGAGATCACATTTCCTCAGTTCATCGTTTCTTTCATGGGTGTTTTCTTTTCTGGCCAGGCTGCCGGTACAATCTTCAGTTTCTCAAGCAGTGAGCAAGCTCTATCCCCCGGCCATAGGCAGCCCTAACACCTCAATTGCAGGCTTCACCAAAGCCAACTCGGCCGCTAATTACTACTTTTGGCTCCTCGGCCTGCAGCCAACCATCCAGGATACAGACGAGAACAGGAAAAGGGGCCCAGAGCGTGGCTGCAACTCCATAGATTTCCAAGACATCCAGTTTTCGTACCCATTTGCCCCTGACAAGCGAGTCCTAAAGGGCGTGTCCCTTACTGTAGGTACTGATCAAAGTCAGAAGGCACATTCAACTGACATCCCACAGATTGAACGCGGACAGTTCGTTGCTTTCGTCGGCGCTTCGGGCTGTGGTAAAAGTACCATGATAGCCCTCCTCGAGCGCTTCTACGACCCTACCAGCGGCATCATCAGAATTGATGGTTCCGCCTCCCTCACCGACATCAGCCCCCGCCTCTACCGTAGCAATTTAGCCTTAGTGCAACAGGAACCGACACTCTTCCCCGGAAGCATCCGAGATAACATCGCAGCAGGTATTGATGTCAGCGCCGAAGAACAGCTCCTCATCAAGGATGACGTAATCGAAACAGCTTGCCGGGCGGCTAATGCCTGGGACTTTGTCAGCTCCCTCCCCGACGGCCTAAACACCCTTTGCGGGCAAGGCGGCAGCCAACTTTCCGGAGGACAAAGACAGAGAATAGCCATCGCTCGCGCTCTCATCCGCAACCCTAGTGTAATCCTTCTAGATGAGGCGACCAGTGCGCTGGACACTGAGTCTGAAAAGATTGTGCAGAAGGCATTGATGGAGGTTGCGGTCACAGATGATCGTATCACCATTGCCGTTGCGCACCGTCTGTCGACGATTCGCGAGGCGAATTCAATCTGCGTGTTCTATGAGGGCAGGATTGTTGAGTCTGGCACGCATGATGATCTCGTTCGCCAAGGCGGGATATACAAGAAGATGTGTGAGGCTCAGAGCCTATAGCTGCTAAGACTGCGGTGGCACTTGGCGTTGTGTGGTAATGGCGTCATCCTGGGCTTTTTAATGCTTGGTAAACTTAGTTTTGGGTCTTGCAGAACAAAATTAGACAGGTCTGCCGGGGTAGCTAGGGTGATGGCGCCGGGCAGGATAAAACCTGTCCCTTGTCCCAGAACACCAGTAAACTCAACAATGCACTTCAACGTCAGAGCAACATCAAACTGTCACCAGAGCCACTTCATCCAATATCCACTTAATCAGTCTAAGATGGATGAACACCTAAGCTTAAGCTGAATAAGACCTAAGTTACCAAGACGGCTGACACTCAGGAACGCTGCCCCATCATATTCGCTCGTCTCAGCGGCGTCTCAAAGACATCGGTGTTTTAAACCCCATCCTTTCTGCTGAGTACTTATAAGGACATAACCTTACATGCCCTAATAGCGCCTTGCTTCAGTACGACGGAGACCAAGGCAATCCCATGGCACTTAGGAACATCCTATGGATGGCAAGTATCATCCCAAACACCACGGCCGCGGAGGCAATGGACTTCGGAGAAGAATCAATTCGGGCGGAGTACATATGAGCCATTATTGTTGGACACAAGGCTGCAACGTCCAGGAAGATACAAATAACGCGAAGAAGGGGCTGGCGAATTTGCTCCATTACAATAATGGACGAGTTCGAGACGCGGGTTGTGTAATCACCAGCTTCAGGCTAAGTCAAAGCACCCACTTTTCGGCCACCCCTGCTTTTCGGCCACCCAAAAACAAGGCTATCGCAACACAACCACCTATTTCAATTAACTATCGCCAAGGCCCAGATACAACTATGATACAGCTTTCTGCTTCACTAAGGCAATCAGATACGCTAGATTCATCTATATCTATTTCAACTTCGCCAGCCTTGATCTAGGCTTACCGTATATCACTAATATTAGCAAACTTAGTATTAAAGTCAATTTTAATAGTTTTCTTTTTTCTTATTATAGTATTATTAACTTAGGCCTAGAGAAGCTATATTTAATGCTAGGTAATAGCTAGCTAGAAAGACTACTCTTAGAAGCCTTTTTTAACCTTTTTAAATAGTTAGCGTTATATAATAATACTTTAATTTATTTTATTAAATAAGTTTAATTAACTATTAAGATTTTATATCTTCTTAAATATAGATTATATAATAATAAATATAGTAAATACTTATTTATTTATACTTTAAGTATCTTAGATACTTTAAATATCTTAAGTAATTTTATTATATAATATTAATAGTACTATTACTTTAAGTAATAATAAAAAGCTTAAAAGAGGTTTAGTTATAAAAATAGGCTATAGTCTAGTATATTTCTAGCTACTTAAAATATTCTTTTTTATTAACTTAATTAAATATATTAGCTAATAATAAAATAAAAAGTATTTTTTATTTATTATAGTTAAATTATTTTATTAGTTAAGGTTAAGCTAAAACCTATTATAATAAACTATTTTAATTAAATTAAAGACTAACTAATTTAATAGCTAAAAAATATAAGAAGTATATAATAATAAAAATAATAAATAAATATTATTAATATAATATTACTATATAAACTTTATTATTATATAGCTCTTATACTTATCTAAGACTAGTAGTTTAGCCTAATTAAACTAAGAGAAGATAATCTATAATAAAAAGACCTTTAGTAGCTACTTAATAATAGTCTTATTAGTTATCTATTTATTCTTTATTACTATAAACTTTTATCTATTATATAAGTATTACAATAGTGAATTCTAGGTTAGTTAGTATATAACTATATTACTTATTTACGAAAACTTAAAGGTAAAGAAGAGAGAAATCTATAGCTATACTAGGCTAATCACCTAAGCCTTTAAGGGTACTAGCTAATCCCTTTATTACGTAACTAAAACCTCCCTTCTAGTTACTATAGCTATATATACAGGCTATATCTATCCCTAAGGGTTATAACAGGTAATAGCTATAATATTAACTAGTTATACTATAATATTACGTTCTCCTCTTAATTAAGTACTATTATTTATAATAATCTTTTTATATATTAGAAAAAAGCAAGGTTTTACGTTTTTGTTTTTCCTTTTATCAGCCTACAGACATAATCACAGGCCTGATCAGACGTGACTAAGCAGGACCCTTCCAAGTACAAAAAGGGACTCTAGTCAGATACTATCACAGAGAGAAGGCATTAGCATCTAATCACCATGCAGACAAATAAGCTTAATATCTTTAGATAGGTACTTAGGCAAACATAAATAAATTCATTACTTTAATATTAAAATAAGACGTGTAATAAGTGACTATTACTTTGTTTCCTTAGGCCTAACTAGACCTCTAAGGTCTAAGAGGGTATCCTCCTCCTCCAAAGATCACAACACACACATATATACTACTTAGCAATAAGGGCAAATCTAAATAGACTGTAAGACGTGAAGGATATACTTTTCTAGTTTACTTATAGCCCTAATCAGGCTAAGAAGGACCTAAAAAGAGTAGTATCTTATAGTCTAGGCGTTAAGGTAGTCACTTAGAGTAATCAGTTACTCTAGGTGTACTTGTAACAATACTAGGACCTTAGTGTTTAGTGTGGTTTATATATTAACTGCTTACTTATTAGCTTTCTTTATTTTATGTAGTTTTAATGGTGTCTTGTAGTAGAATTAAACTATTAACTTTTTTATTATTTTTATTTTTATTATATAATAAATCTAATATTAGTACTTTAAAAATAGCTTTAACTAATAAAATATATTATTAAAAAGATATAAAAGAAATAATATCTTTGACCTAATTAGACTTAATCCTAGACATAGAAGTAAGCTTAACCTTAAGAAACCGTAATAGATAAGACCTAAGAAAAGTAGAATTCTTTAAAAAAGCAAAAAAATAAATAACTAGCTATAATAATATAATATAGCTAAATAAACCTTCTATATAAATAATCCTTTTATAAGTAAGTACTAAGTAAGCCTAATTAAAGAAAAAAGCCTATAAAATATAAAAAGAAAAAGAAAAACAATAAAATAAGAATAATACCTTTTACTAAAATTAATAAGCTAAGAAGCTCTCTCAGCATAAGTTATAGAATAATCATAACTACAAACTAAGCCTAGAACTTCTTAAGATCTTATTATTATATAAGCCTTAGTCTAATTAGGTTTAATATTATGCTATTAATAGAAACTAAATATCTTAGCGTTAATAAATTAGTAGTAATAGAAATTTAATATTCTTTTAGGATTAGCTTAGACTTAATAAGTATTTCTTTTAGAAACTTAATTAAAGATATAATAAACTAATACCTTATAAGAACATATAAAATACTACTCCTAAGTCTAATTAAGTTAATAGACTAAGCTAAATAGTAACTCTAAAAAGATTTTACATATAATACCCTAAAATTAATTTAAAATAATTAATACTATTTATACTTCCTATAACTAGCCTACTAAGATATTAGTAATATATTTAAGCTAACCCTATTAACAACTAACATAAAGTAACTCAGAGGTCTAACTAATTACGCTGCCTTATTCACTAATAAAGCTTTCTAGAGTTACTAAGGCCTTAATAATAATATAGATACGAAGTCTAAGACTAGTCCTAGGATTCCTAACTTCAAAACCACTAAAAAAAATAAAAATAAGGACCTAAGCTTAGGCTATTAGTAATACAAAGGGAGTCCTAATTAGGCTAGTAAGAACATAAGCCCTTCCCTTAATCTAGTATCAGACTCCTTTACTACAATAGACTTCTAGGCCTAACAACTCTTAATAGTAAACCTATTAACAATAGTTAATATAAGTATAACTAAGAACTAAGAGTCTATTAAGCCTAATTAAAGTAGAACAGATTACTTATATTAGTTAACTATTAAGATACTACTACTAGATACTAAAAAGGCCTTTACCTTTAATAACTATAATATTACTAATTTCCTTAATAAGTATAAAGCCTTAACTAGGCTTACTAATTACTTTAACAAAAAGAAAACAAAAGCGTTACTATAATACTTACTTAATAAACACTAAGCAACAGTAAAGATCAAGGCTAAAAAAAAGACTTAATAAGAACTAAACAAGTTTCTTCTTAATACTTATAAATAACTTAATAAAAAAGTCATTTTTTAACTAAACTACTATATTAAGAACCTTATAAAGAAAAACTTAATTAAAGATAATAACTTAATAAAAACTATAACTTTATTTTAAAAAGTTAAAAGCATAAAAAAAAAACAAAAGCTAAAGAAAAGCCTATAATAGGTACCTAAGAGCTAATTAAGCTTTTTACTATATAATTTTCTAAAAACATAATTATAGTAGTATTTTTATAAATAAGACTTTCCCTTACTAATCTATTTAAGAGAAAAAACTTTAATGCTTTTAAGAGGATAATATTTATATAAGTAGAATAAAAGTTAAAATACAAGGGTTATTATAAAGATTCTAATACTTTTATCTTCTTCTTATCAACTACAGTTCCCTATTCCTTAAAGCAGCCTTCTAGCCCTAATTAAGTCAAAGGTACACTCCCTAAGAAGTCTACTTTCAAAGACATCAAAGTTATAACTAATCCTACTATAAACAAACTTTCAAAAACAGTAATAGCCCTTACACTCACTATAAAAGCTAGTCTTAAAGCCCAGACTATCTCTAACAATCAACCTATAGTTACATATAGTTATAACGTCTCTATATCCAGTCCTCTATAGCTATATACACCACTAGCTTAATAACTATCCTCCTTTAATAAGCTAGGTTTTATTCTAGGCTATCCTAATTAGTGTTAATATAATATATATAACTAAAGAAGATATTAGATATACTTATAACTTAAAAAGAACAAAAAGGCTAACCTAATTATATTAAACTATAACATCTATAAGTATAAAGTACTTTAAAAATTAAACATTAAAATAAACAAAGTTCTTAATATTATTATCTAAAAAGCCTACAAAAACTACTAGCCTAACCAGGTTACTATCCTTACCT